GTATTTTTTTATTTCATCTTTACATTGTATTATGAAGAACATATTAGAGGACTTTTGACGCCTCAAGATCACGGAGTAAAATTTCGATGTTGAAGAAACAATTAAATCTACATGAATCAGTCTCTGTCCGAAAAGATTATTAGCCGTAAAAAAATTGAGATGTTTTAATAAGATAATAGATTATTGACCATAGTGAGGCTTCAAAAATCAAACTTCTTAAAACTAATAATAACACGACCCACCACTATAAACTAATCACAAACCCACCACTACAAGCTAAAGTATAAATAGTTCTAAATTTTTGGTATTAGCTAAGCTCAAAATCCCTTATATATTAATTGTAATTTTTTATAATAGTTTATAATTGTTTTAACAATTTTTCCATCCTAATTCAAAATTCACTCTAAATCATGCTCATTTTAATTATCTTTGTTTTGTTTTTTCGGAAAAATAAAGATGAAAAATAGTGAAAGAACACGAGTTACATAAAATATAATACATGAAAAAAATTCATTTAGTAAATTAAAAGATAGAAAATAAAAATCTAAGAGGACTATAATTTTAATCGAACACCATTGGTAATGTTTAACCATGAAACGAAGTTTTTCTAATTAGTTTGATACTTAGGAAAACATCTAGTATAATATTACAAAATAATGATTTCTGTTCTACCTAACCACATCCGAAGAAAATATATATATCACCAAAACATCAAAAGTAAACAAACACAAACTTATTGACCGAAACAAACAAACACATTTGGTCATTTAGTTAATAGTTTATACATTGAACGATGGAACTTTTACTCCCACACCCTTCAAACTCATCTCCTCTCACTGTTCTTGGCTTCTTGGAACGAGCCGCCTCCATATACGGCGACTCACCCTCCCTCCTCCACACAAACACCGTCCGAACTTGGTCTGAAACTCATTCTCGATGTCTCCGCATCGCTTCGACTCTCTCTTCATCCTCCCTTGGAATCAACCGTGGCCAAGTTGTCTCTGTTATTGGTCCAAGCGTCCCTTCCGTCTACGAGCTTCAGTTCGCGGTTCCTATGGCTGGTGCAGTCCTCAACAACATCAACCCGCGTTTAGACGCTCACGCACTTTCCGTTCTTCTGCGTCACAGTGAATCCAAGCTCGTTTTCGTTGACCATCACTCAAGTTCTTTAGCTCTTGAAGCTGTCTCGTTCTTGCCCAAGAATGAGAAACCTCGTCTCGTCCTCCTTCGCGACGATGATGTATCATCGTCTTCGTCAGCTGATGTTGATTTCCTCGATACATACGAAGGGGTAATGGAGAGAGGAGACCCGAGGTTCAACTGGGTCCGTCCTGAAAACGAGTGGATCCCAATGGTTCTTAACTATACCTCTGGAACAACGACGTCTCCTAAGGGAGTTGTGCTTAGCCATAGAGCGGTTTTCATGAGCACTGTTAACTCTATGCTCCAGTGGTCTTTGCCTAACCGCCCGGTCTATCTATGGACACTACCGATGTTCCATGCCAACGGCTGGGGCTACACATGGGCCACAGCCGCTGTGGGGGCCGTAAACATCTGTGTTCGAAGAGTCGATGCACCGACTATTTTTGACTTGATCGACAAGCATCAAGTGACACACATGTGCGCTGCGCCGACGGTTCTCAACATTTTGACCAATTACCCGGCCCGGAAACAGCTCAAGAATCCAGTCCAGGTTATGACCGCTGGAGCTCCACCACCGGCTACAGTCATCTCCGAGGCTGAGACACTCGGTTTTGACGTGGGTCACGGTTACGGGATGACAGAAACCGGGGGTCTGGTTGTCTCGTGCACATGGAAGCCTGAGTGGGATCGTCTGGAACCAAACGAGCGAGCAAAAATGAAATCAAGGCAAGGAATTAGAACAGCGTTATTCGCGGAAGCAGACGTTATAGACCCGATAACCGGGAAGAGCGTGAAGCACGACGGAGTAACTGTGGGAGAAATCGTCTTCAGAGGCAGTATGGTCATGCTGGGTTACTACAAAGACCCAAAAGGCACTGCGGCAAGCATGAGAGAAGACGGATGGTTCTACACCGGAGACATGGGTGTAATACACCCAGACGGTTATATGGAAGTTAAAGACAGGTCAAAGGACGTGATCATATGCGGAGGAGAGAACATCAATAGCACAGAAGTCGAGACAGTTCTGTACACAAACCCGGCGGTCAAGGAAGCAGCTGTGGTGGCTAAGCCAGACAAGATGTGGGGAGAGACTCCATGTGCGTTTGTGAGCTTGAAGGATCATAAAGGGCCTGTGACTGAGAGAGAGATAAGGGAGTTTTGCAAGACAAAGCTGCCAAAGTATATGGTTCCAAGGAATGTAGTTTTCCAAGAGGAGCTTCCAAAGACTTCTACTGGAAAGATTCAGAAGTTTCTTCTCAGACAAATGACTAAGTCCTTGCCTTGATGAAGAACAATCTTGCTTTGTTGTTATTATTATATTGTACACTACAAAGTTCTTATCTCTACCTCAGTACACGTCTGTGGTTCATTAGTTTGGCTCTATGTTCTTGTCGCTGACCACAAAACGTTTAGTGTCAGTGTCCTGTCCTGATGTCTGAAGTTGCTCTCTTTTCTGTATTAGTTGTTTTGCAGTTTGTAAATCGTCTTTCGCCTCACTGGATTCCGCCTGTCGAATGGTAATAGCACGTCCTTAAGACTGCTACTGGATTAAAGAAATGGAACAGGTGAAATTTTTTACTTTTTTCATGAAACTCACATTGATCGATATTGCGCTTTCGAAACTCCTGATAGCACTATCAGGTTCGCCAAAATTTAGTTGTGCTCTTCCAAGAGTAGTCCACGCCTAAAAACAGACCAAATTTGACGAAAATTTAACCATACAAATAAAGGAATCTGATTCTTCTAACAAAGCTTTCAACATCCAAATTTCTATACAGAATCAATACCACGAACATACTATACAGTAAGCAGATTACTTTCCCGGAGGTTTCAGCTCTTGTACCATTTTTTTTACTTCTAGAAACATTTATGATATAGACTATAGAATATAAGTACCTCAGCCCACGATGGATCTATCTCAGTCGCTCCTGTGAAGAATGAAAACCATGGGAGCTGTTAAGAGGGTTCTTGGCGAATAATCATAGAACCTTAAACTGTATGTATATAAACGTAACAACATATAAAGGGTTAGAGCATTACGTGTTGCAGCCTTGAGTGCTTTCCATGCATCACCAAGCTCAAGTAACACTTGTGCTTTCTGTTCATGCAGGACCGCATTTTCAGGGACAAGATTAAGAGCAGCTTCCCATTTACCTAGAGCCTCCTGGTATTTTCCTTCCTTCAAAAGCAAGTTCACGATGAGGAAACGGAATCAAAGAGACAGGTTTGTACTAAAGTAGTTCCATACACAAAAGAATACCATTTTAATAAAAGTCATGAATGATGAACCTGAGGCCATTCAAATGCAAAGATGCTGTATAGAAAACGTCTCAACTTTTTAAAGAAATACAAAGTTTCCTATCCTATGCCCGATATTATTTCAAGACTGAAACGCAAAGTTTCAGACTCGTTAACTAAGAATGTATTGCATATGTGTATGTCTCCTTTGCACTCATCACTCTCAACTAATGCTAGAGTAATATGTTCAACACTATCGCCTTTGCTCTTTCCTCATATTTTCCTTTAATTATCTCTTTGACAAACTCTAAACTCTGTTTTTCTATAGCTTCCCCTTCACTTTTTTCCTTGTTCATTTAATTCAATAAAGTTTCAGTCATGGTAACAAGTATGATTCGTGGTCTACGGATCTCTTTTTCGACTGTCAGTCTTAAATTCTTCCTATCAATCTCTCAAGAAGAGATTCCATAGGCCACGGATCATGGAGTATGGGAGAAAAACAAAACAAGACTGGCCACTATGCGACTCAAACTTATCTACGACAAGAATATCAGTAGAAGAAATTGCTGAGCAAATTTTTCCCATCTACAATATCACTTCCCTTTGCGCAACACTTAGAGCAATCAAGAAGTTGTATATCCATAGGAAACATGTAAGCAGGTATGCTAAAATTAGCTTTGTGCAATCAATGGCGATTTGGCTACAAAGAACACAGCTCTTAGTAATCATGTCACCAGAAGAAACTGAAGCAGACACAGTCCTTAGTATAAAGGAACCACTTTTAACGAATTTTGCAGTGACCCAAAAGAAGAAAACTTGCTTAAAAGTATCCAAATTTTGTAGGTGTTTACCTCAGCGAGCTTGTCTCCTTGAGCTCTAAAGGATTCTGCGAGATTCTTCGATTCGAGATCAAATTTCTCATGATTGAGTCCAACCTCCGACGAGTCCAATTGTCTACGCTTAGAATCATCTTCGAGAAATTGGCGTTGAGAAGAATGGGTCTCTGGAGATTCCTTCTCGAAAGGAAGATCAGGGAAGTTCGTTACAACTCCACGAGATCGTTTCTTAGGGTTCTTGTTCCACGTTAGTTTCATCTTCTTCTTCCACCAATCTAATGGTGTCAATTAGAGCTTTAACTCTCGATGGCCGATTGTGTCTGGTTCGAAACATACCAGACATGATTTCCCGGTCCGATAGTAAAACCGGCTTTTCTGACCAAGTTCGATCAGACCACTGACCACATAAGGACAAAAATAATAGAGTTGCTAAATCTGGTTTACGT